GGATTTATATTGAAAGGCAATGGAAAGATTCCATCAACACACAAAATGATTCAAGGTCAAGGTCATAGAAGATTTGAGATACCAATTCCAAGCTTTCCAAATGATTCCTAACATGTACATCATATCCCTAACTCTGCATTTATTTAAGAAACATTCACTCAACATTTTCTCATGAGAGTTAACTACACGATAAGATCAGGAACTACAATTATATATTTCCTAAAAAAATACATATGTACATAAACACACACATAATCTTACATTGTCTTTTTTTAAAATATAAGGGTTTGTTGAGGTGGCTCATCCCTGTAATCCTAATAATCAGGAGGAGAAGATCCAGAGAATAGCAGTTCCAGGCCAGCCCAGGCAAAACATTCACAAGACCCCCATCTCAGCAAACAAGCCAGTAATGGTAGTACATGCTTTATCCCCAGCTACTCAGAAGTCATATATAGATGCACCATAATCCAGGACAGCCAAGGCACAAAATCATAAGCCCCTATTTGAAAAATAACTAATGCAAAAAGAGTTGGGAATGTAACTCAAATGGTGAGCACCTGCCTAGCAAGCACAAGGCCCTAAGTTCAAATCTCAGTCCACCAAAAACACCTCAGGAAGGCATAGAAGTTATAAGGCCCACAGTGAGTCACAAGGCATAAAAAATAATTCATTGTGTTGTTTTAGTTTAAAATCCTTTTAAGGCCTCGATTGTAAATGCTTTTATAGTTATGGGAAAACATACACATCTGTGAATTAGAAGCAAATCATATCTTGTTTTTGTCACTCTCAAGAAATGATATTATTTAATAAATATTTATGTCACATAAATAATTACCACAGATCAACAGTTACACCATTTTTTCTTAGAAACTGAGTCCTTAGAAATAATTTTCACTGCTACCTTATCAAGGAGGTACACTGTTGAATTAAAGTTTTGCAGTTGTAATGTTAAAGCTATCTTAAAATGTTATTATAACATTATTATAACAAGAATGCTCGTTACCTTGAATATGAACATTTTACCCCCATTTAATGAAGTGCTTCTATCCTTATAGAAGAATAGTAGTTTCATGATGAAATTTTAATCAAACCAAGCATGCACTTCATTCTTTAGAAAACTAGACTTACTGTAGACCAACTGAGGCTTTGATATAGATGATAAATCATACAGCTTTACAGATAGATGCCTTCTGCATACTATCACATCAGAGTTAGCAGATCTATGAAATCCTTGCCAAAAGGCATTTAAGGAAACAATGTAGGTTTTATATTTTATATTTTTATGCAGTGGTACGAGAGCAGATTTGGCATTAAGTAACAACCATATAGTTTTGCAAACTGCAATGCAAGGGAAGGAGGCAGTAAGACCAAGGAGCAATTAAACTAGTGAAGAGTCCAAGGGGAAGTGGGGAAGCCCATTCCATTTATCTGTCTGCAGGATTCATTCGGATATCCAGACTTTGGAAAGAGCTTTGAAGAATTCCGATATAGAAGTCACAGCTACCAAATGTTCCCAAAAAGAATGGGGAACACATTCCCCATGCCGACTATAGCATTTGTCAATTCAGAAATTTGGTAAATTTGTTTGAATTTTTTTTTTAAACCTGTTGATATTTCAATCTACAATACCCTTAGGTAAAAAGCACAATTTGAATTATTTTCCAATGTGATTATTCCTTGGTTCCATGCTTCCTTTAATGCAATTCTGAATGAGTTTGAAACAAATAGCATGTATTTTTTGAAGTTCTCAACTTACAAAGAGGTGGAAGGGCTGTGGTGGACTATACCCGTCACTCGTGGAATACTTCACAGTGAACAATTCCCTACAGCAAAAGCATATTCTCTCCACGGGAGCCACCAATGTGACATCACCGCTTCCATGGGTAGGGTTGATCCTTAACTCTTATTAGAGTTTCACCAGTTCCAATCATGGCCTTTGTGGAATAAGCATCCATCAAAAACCAGGTACAGCGCTGAGTTGCCTGTATTCTTGTGTTCCTCCAGTCTGAACACCCCCCTCTTGCCCCCTCAACCTCTGACAATTAACTGTAGGTCACTGCCAAGCACTGTTCTCAATGTCCCAGCCTTGCCAACTTCGGATACTTTCTGAACCCTATGCCATGCCTCTAGGCCACCCACTACCCAGCACGGATGGCTACCTGCTCAGCCCCTGTTCAAAAAGAAAAGGGGAAATGAAGTGGATATGCCTTAAGTTCATTTTTTTTCCATGATCGAAGTGATTTTAGCTAAGCAAGGAATAAATTAATCAACTCAAAAGTTCCACTGGAAGCTGAGGGTGGTGGCACATGTCTGTAATCCTATCACTCAGGAATCTGAGGCAGGAGGATCATGGGTTAATGACCATCCTGGATTGCAAAGCAAGAGTCTGTCTTAAACAAACAAACAAAAAAAAATAAAACATATATTGAAGGTTATGTCTCCGTAATTTACCAATTTTAGGCCGATCTGTAAAATCAGCCAGCTATTTGATTATGTGTCATTGGGACAGAATAAAACAATAAAGAATGTCCTCTTAATTCTTCCCATGGTTTTCAGGAACAATATTAGAACAAAAGTGACCTTTCGTTCACTCTTAGACAGGAAGACAAAGTGACAGAACAGGAAAAGAGCCTATGATAAATCATGCATCTAACAGACTCATTTTTAGGCACAATTTTGATGAACCTACTACATGATGAAGTCAAGGACTTCCCACACCACTCCCTCCACAGTGTCCTCATGTACACAGAGAAATGGCAGCCATGTGAGGATGATCCCACCCTAAGAGATGTATTCAGGTCTTTGCTCATGTCCTCTGGTGGCAAGTGAAAGAACTAGCAACAGCAGAGGTAACCACAAGAAGAAAATGAGAAACTCTAACTGGGGTGGGGGAGGGGGACTTGGTTGCTATGAAGTGGTAGAGCACCTGCCTAGCATGCATGACACCCTGAGTTCAAACTCCAGTATCACCCAAAATGATTTAATTATTGTATAGTTAATACACACTACTAAAAGAGAGATAAAACATTAACTGGGGCCTATCCTCAACATTTATAACCACTTCCAGATGAGTTCAGAGGGAAAAACAGTTGACTTGGACACTTTTATATTTATCAGAAACTATTCTAAAATGCAAACGATGCAGTCCTTTCTAGATATTTCATTTTCAGAAAGATGAAGAATAGACCAGAATTGAATTAGCAGGAAGAGCAGGAGGAGAAGGACAAGAAAGGGAAAGGGAAAAGGAGAGAAGGAGGAAAAGAGAGGAGAGGGGAGAGGTGAGGAATGATGGACAGGAGGAGAGGGCAGAGGAATGGGAGGGCTAGCCCATGAATATTGAAGGTAAGAAAATACTCCGTTCAGGTAGAATCCTCCTAACATAAAATTTCCTCCATTTACTTGTTGGGTCAGTGAACATTCAAGTAGATTTCACAGGAACCCCACAGTGTCGAATGTCTAGCTGGCTCTTGTCATGACCCCATTTCATGCACACAGCCATTTGGTACCATAGACACAGGCTACCTTGGTGGGTGAATGATTTTGCTTCTGGAGAGCCAGCTGTAAGCCATGGTGTGTCTACATAAGAACAATTGTAAACTTCCTTATTGACTTTGTTATTGGTATTTAGGATCGTTTCCCTTTTGTTAGTGTAGATTTATCTGGAAGAATTACTCCATCCAAAAGGTAATTTTTAATAAACAAAAAATGTACTGAATACAGAGAAACTAAAGGTTTCTCAGCTGAAAGAAAATCTCACAAAACTAGTATTAAAATTGTAAGTGTCTTCCAATGACCAGAGCCAATTTGGAGAAAGGCCCACATGAACCTGTACACCTGTGTTCTGCACCGCTCATCCCTGGAGATGCCTACCCTCCCACAGAGAGTGCTGTCTGTGAAAGAGAACGACTTCAACTTCTCCCACTGGAATCCAAGCAAAATCCTTTCAGTACACCTAGTACTGGGAAGAAAAAGAGATCACAAGGATGGAACAAAGCCAGGAAAGGGGTGCCAGGGTCTCCTCCACATCCCACTGCTTTGCTTTGCTCATGGAAAGGCTTGTTGAACCCTGTTACCAAAAAGTAAGAGTGACCTCTAGTGCCTTGTTTTATCATTGCTGTATTCTCCCAGCTAATTGTTGAATTATCTATCCTACTTGCTACTATGCAAGCAGTTCACTTCTCAGTCATGAGAAGAAAGGGAGACATCTTCCAGATAGAGATTTAATCCAAGCCAAAAAAATTAACATTTTGTGTCTTGTAAAATATGGTTGCATTGCGTTCTGCTGAACTCTTGGGACTGTCATCATTACATTAGACTATGACCCACTCTACAAATAAAAGCTTCCTAAATTTCTACCAAATCAGGAACAGGGCACCCAATGAGAAACTTTAAAAATGTAAAATATCAGCATGCAGAGAGGAATAATTTTCAGGATCACCCAGATGACTATGTTTTGTCTTTAAAGCAAGAATTTTTTACTGTAGCAATGAAGCCCCCTGTCCAGGGAGTGCCCAAGTGTTTTGTCTTTAGTAGCCTGGGCAGGTATTAAGATCTAGGACCACCTACAGGTGCTTCCTCCCTGGCCAGCCTAAGAGGTAATTAGCATCTTAACTCTGAAGCTGCCAAGATCTGCAAAACATCTAAATTAATGCAGTATGATGTCACGTCTGCCGGTTATTTCCCCATTAGACTTCATTCCTACAAAGTGCTACGATCCTAAAAAGAAAAAGAAGCAATGACAGCACTTGCAGACTAACCCCCTTACTATGACTTTCTCTGGCTTTATGGAAAAACGTTCACTCCCAATGAATATTGAAATACAGAGATAAAAAGCCAAAAAGCCTGCTAGACTTTAAGAGTCTCCCAAAAGAGAACTGGGTCTCGATTTTCAGATTGCAATCCCACGGGGCTTCTTCGCAATCCCAGGTCCCGATATTAACTGATAATGGATGAAGTTTCCCAGAGAGCCAGGCTAAGTTTGCAGCATTCGCGGTACTTACGCGGCTGGTTCCAGGTCTGCGTGGGCAGCAGCAGCAGCAGCAGCACCCGCAGGAAGGCTCTGGCCACAGGGGCCATGCTCGCTGGGAGGCTCGCGGGCTCCTGCACCCCCCCTTCCTCCCAATCTCTCTCTCCTTCCCACTCTCCTCTCTCCCTCTTCTCTTTCTCTCCTTCTTCTTTCTGTCTCCCTCTTCCCTCCCTCCCCCTCTCTTCTCTGGCTCTCCCCTCTCTCTCTACCTCTCTCTCTCTCCTCTTTCTCTCTCCCTTTCCCCGCTCCCCCCACCACCTCAGCCCCGCTGCTCCCGCTGCGCCCCCCTCCAAAACCCTCCCCAGCTCCCAGCAGTGTCTTTCTCCCTGCGCTCTGGATTGCGCGGTCACCGCACCAGGCTGGGAGGTGGCAGGTTCGCGGTGGGTCCCCTACACCTTGCTCTCCTGTAGAGGTGGCAGGTTGCAAAGGCGAGTCTGGGAGGAGCCCTGAGGGGACCCATCCCACCCCACTGGGCTGATCGCTCCCCTAGCCCCTTCCTGGAGCACCCCTCTGCACCTCTCCCCTCCCCCCGCAGAGATGGCGGTCTTTGCTGTTACCCTCAGGCTGCAGGGTGACAGCGCCAGGCATTATCTATCAGTCACCGCGTGCCATCCAGGGAAAACCATCTTCCGGTTTAGTTCCTGAAAGACAAGAGTGGAGCAGCAGGTTATTGCTGCAGGTGGACTCCCATGGACACACACGCCCTTGGCTGGGAATTCTGACTTGTATTAAGGAAGCTCAAGTGCAAGGTCAGCATCCGTCTTTATTTAACTGGTATCTGGGGGTTTGTCCGTGTTGAGGGTTTTTTAAATTAAATTTTATTTTTTACTATTGCCTTAAAATATTATTTGTCTTGATTAGTAAGTGTCCCTTAAATATTGCATTTTGAGACAGGTGCCTTACTCCCACATCCTAGTTCTGGCCCTTCTAGAAGTCTCTAGAGTGAATGCCATTCCAGCTTTTGGTACCAAGAAGAAACACTTTCTGAGCAGTACAAGGGACCCTGCTGTCTACTGTGTACCTCATGGGGAAAAGAAGGGACCCTTCTCCCCCTCTCCTAAATTCACAGCCCAGGCAGAAGGACAAACCCCCTGAAATCACTACTGTGAGATTCCAGAAAAGAATCACCAAAGTTTTTAACTGCTGTCTCTAAGAAAAATTGCTGTTTACCTTTTTGTCTTTTCTCTGGAAAAACAGCTTTGACAATATTCCTTAAAGTCTTTTTCTTCCTTAAAATAAAGTCACATATAATGCTAATCAAAGTGAAACCTTAAGAAGTCATTCCTGAATTTTTAACTGGGTTCACTTAAATACTTTTGCCCAAGAGTGATGTAAAACACACTTCTTGCATTAGAGAAAGTTTTTAAAAATGGAAAATCTTGATTGACAGATTAATTGCCTCAAATGAGAAAGAAACTGAAAAAAGAGAAGTCATTTTCTAAATTGGGTACAAGGTAAAGGATGGACTGTCAGTGGAGTGCAGTTTTGTTCTTCTGTACAAGCAGATTCAGTCCTGGCTGTGAGTCCTGTGTTCTGTATGTCAGCATAGTCTTAACACTTGCAATCTGCAAATTCATCCTCTCGATTCATAATATACCATGTGTGTTCCAATCTAAGCTAGAATTTGTAGCTCTTCAGATTTCAATTCTAAAGTAAGAACCCTAAAATTATAACCCATTTGACTGCCAATCTAGTAGCACTTTGATTTCCAAATGGGTCTACCCTTATCAGTATGATCTATCTCTTCATAATTCCTTCTTATGGTATTTTGGCAATATCATGTGCTATTAACTTGATTTTTAAAATAAATGACTGCATTAAGGCAAAAAAGGAGGGTTCACTCAGATGGTTTAAATGAAGAAACAAAAGAGGTTAAGGGCTCTGTATGAGTCAGCATCACATTATAACACTAATGCCAGAGACAATTAGCTTATAAAAGAGGGAAGGTTTGCTTTGAGTCAAGGCTCTGGAGGTTGCAATGCAAGATTGGTCATTTGGGCCTCTGGCGAGGACAGCAGATCATGACCAGAGCAGGAGGAAAACGAACTGTTTATATCATGAACCTGGAAAAAGAGAGAGACTGGAGTTCCACAGTCCCCTTGGAGGGCGTGAGGACCTCCCTCTCACTAGGCCCACCTCCTAAAGGTTCCATCAGCTCACCAACAGCACCACCCTGGGAATCAAGTCTTTAAACACATGGACCTTTTGGGGACGCCATCCAAACCATAGCAGGCCCCATTAAGTGAGATTGGGGTACCCACAGAAGAGCAATGGCAAAGTCCTTACCACCCATGAAGGGGACAGCGGAGGGGGGATTGTTGGCAGAGCACCAGAGAGCAGCAGTCAGACAGGAGGTCTTTCTGGGGAAAGCCTTAGTCATAGAAGTGAAAGCGTTCTGCCAGAATCAGAAGGCAGAATGAGCAAGGAAGAGGCATTTTGACCTCTGACTTCTCAATGCCTCCTGTTTCTGCTACATCTCTCATCAGTCAGAACTGATGAGGTCAGCTAGGAAAGGAGCCAGGTTAAGCCAGGGCAGGAAGGGCAGACAGAGGTTCTGAGGGGCTCAACAAAAAAGGGCTCAACAACCATTGTGGAGACATTGGCATTATCAAGTCAGAAGTGACCATATCACCATGAACCTGTCATTTTGTAAATTTTGTTCTGTAATGAATGACATATGAAGTAGTAACTTGGTACATAAAGCTACAATTTAGCTTAGTTTTTTCATTTGGGAGCTGAAGTAATTGTACTCACTAGAAATAAGACTACAACTTTGAAGTCAGATTACCTACTCTTTTTTCTATTTATATGAACAAGGGAAGATTAATTATTTGAATATCATAGTTTTAAGTGAGGCTTTTCATTAATTTTAGCATCAGGAAGTCATCTGAGTCCAGTTACCTTTCCTTATATTTTTATTATTTATATATTTTTTGGTGGTTCTGGGATTTGAATTCAGGACCTCACGCCCACTAGGCAAGCATTGTCTGACTTGAGCCACTCCACCCACCCACCAGCCCACCTTTCCTTATTTTTCACAGAAATAGTAAGAATGAAGTTCTCATAAAGCAGAGAAAGATGAGGTCATTCTGACATGCATCAGTGTGATGGTTAATCTTGACTGTGAACTTGATTGGATTGAGAAATGCCCAAGGCATTAGGAAAACATACCTGTGGTTTGCGTGTGTGTGTGTGTGTGTGTGTGTGTGTGTGTGTGTGTGTGTCCATCTGTCTGTCTGTCTGCCTATCTGTGAGGGCATTTCCAGAGATGATTAGATCGTGAGGACTGTGACTTAATGAACTGATCAATCCCTTGATGGAATCATAATATGATAAGGTTATTGGAAGTGAAAAGTAGGAAGTAGGATGAGTTGAAGGAAAGTAGGTCACCATGAGCAAGACCTGGGGTTACCATCTTGCTCTGTCCCATCCCTCCTTTCCTTGCTTCCTGTCTGTTGAGAGGTGATCACTTCTCCTTCATCACATACCCTCACCACCATGAGGTTCTGCCCAGTGCATGGGGCCAAGGTACCATGGACTGAAGCCTCTGAAACTGTGAGCCAAAAGAAGTCTTTTCTTCCCTTAAGCTGTTTATGTCAAGCAATCTGTCACAGCAAGAAAAGCTAACTAATAATCAACATTTTATAAAAAACAGTGTTCACTTTTCCTGGCCATTTGGGTGAGTTGAACTCAAGCATAACCACAAATATTCTTTGTTAAAACATTATATAATTTCATAAATCTGTAAAAATTTATATAGTTTTTTTTCTGTCAAATCAACAAGCTACCTGAAAATCAAATCCTTCCAACTAAACTAGATTTTTTTAAATAAGAAAAACAAGCAAATAAATGGCAAATAAGTTGACATTGTCTTCCCCATACCTTATCACTGGCTGATTGGGAAGAAGACAAAGAATTAGAAAGAAGAGAGAGAGTGGTAATCAATGGCTATGCCATAAGCAGTTCACCTAACTGTTTTATTGTTCTATATACATTCCCTAATTTTGTGTTTATACACTGTGATAAGGCACTTTTACACTGCATCATATAAAAATCATAGGCACTCATGTAACAAAGTAAATGTTCTCTCAAATGTTTTCCCTCACATAAAAACATAATTCTTACCTCCAAATTTGGGTTAATCTTCTACATAGAGAGTGCAGATGGGCACAGTTAGAGTATGATTTTTTAGGGACTAGAAAACAAACCCAATTACAGCCAATCAACATTCAATCATTGAGATGCCAATAATGCATCCTACCAAAGGGAAAGAAGAAGGAGGGGAGAATATAATGGAGGGAGGTAAACTTGTTCAAGGTACACTGTACACCAGTATGGAATTATCATAATAAATCCCCTTGTACAATTAATGTATGCTAATTCCAACATTAAAAGTGATTTTTAATGTGCAAAAATTTTAACACAAAAATCTGTGTGTGTCAGTTATCTTCCTTCATACGAGAGGCAAACTTTTATATAGCAGAGATTACTTGAATTGTGTTTGGGAGAGAGAGTAAGAGGAGGATACCAGAAGGGGTAGGAGAGAGTTAAGAAGAAAACTCAAGTAAATGACAAAAATGAATTTTATTCATTTTATGGTTTTGACTAAAGTGAAAACATCCTTCAATGAGTTGCTACAGCAGGCATAAATACTGTTCCACATGTAAACTTCAAGCTTAAATTAATGGGGGCATCTTACCAACTCAGAGATAGTCTATCAAAAGGGAAGAATGAATGGATATGGATTTGGGAGACATTTTAGACTTGCCTACATTTGTGTTTCAGTCCTCTGAACAGCCTCATGGCAAGCCTGAGTTTCTGAGTATAGTGAAGCTTTAACTGTTTTACCTTGAGTAGATGCAGGAATTCGTATCCACCTGTCTCAGGTATAGCACGCTTCATGCCTGCCAGCAGAGAGCCCCCAGTGCCTTAAAGAAGCACTTTGCCACAGGTCTTGTTAGAGGAGGAGAGGAAGGTGGAAAAGTCTGCTAGTAAGATGGTGATTGCTTTTGCAACACTGTAGAGGCACAGTCTAGAAGCTAGAAATGAA